CGAAGTTGATGTATTTCCTCAGCGACCAGCACGGATCAGCTCCAGGCATGACGAAGCGGACATCGTCCTCTTATGGAAGGCCAAACAAAGTAGATTTGCTTTCACAATGAAACACAGCGTCTCCATGGCATGGCGGCGGCAACAACAATACTACAGTGAGAATAAAAGTTAGGCCTTCTTTCTTTGCGTGAACATTTGGGCGGCGTTATGCAAATCTTCCCACATGAGTGCACACGCGGGGACGAGCCGTACAAGCGGCCCTACGGCTGGATGCGCTTTGCTCTGAAGGTCCGGGACAAATATCCGGACGGGAACGCTTGGCTGGGAACAAACGGATGGAGGAGCCGTTCAGTGCCCGGTGAGTGGCCCGTCTCTTACCACGGAACCAATTTAAAGGGGGCCGAGGGCATCGTACAGACTCACTTCAAGGCGGGAGACCGTCAGGCGTACGGAAGAGGGGTTTATTCATCTCCAGACATCAACGTGGCGGATATGTTTGCGAATAGCAAGAACTTCACGTCGCAAAACAATGGGAAAACTTACAAAGTCATCATGCAGAATAGAATCAACCCCCAGAAGAGGGAAATCAAGGACAAAAACATTTGGTTGGTCCCCATACCAGTAGGCACATCTGCTGCGAAAGAAAAAGAAATAGTGAAGAGCTCAATCCGACCCTATGGCCTTCTGCTTAAAACGGTGTAGGAAGGCCAACAGTATGGGCCTAGCTGAAGTTACTCTTGCATGTACTTCCAAATGCTTAATATTCTATGTTATGTTCCATATTCTCATAATGGAGAACAGAGGGACAAAATTCTATGAAATATATTAAAAAGGCATATAAAATGTTTGTTTTGCACATCATTAAGAGGAAGATGTCTATACCAATTTGTAAAAACTATGTATTTTTCTTCTCCGGAGACCCACACTTCAAGTGTTAGGCTACATGCTTAGTTGTCTTTCAAAAGCAGTAGGCTACAGTAAGTCATTTTAACCCCCTTTTATAAAATCAAAGTATTTTCCGAAAGAAAAGGTTTTAAAATGAAACCTTTCGGAAAATACTTTTGATTTTATAAAAGGGGAAAAAATGACTTATACAACTGAATATCAGCAGTGATGTTCATAAGCATGTATAGCGTTGTCTGCGCACGGACATGATGTACCATAGTTGAAGATATAGTTATGGACGGTAGGAATATTTATTGCGATGTAGATGTACAGCCTACAGTAATTTTTATGACCGTAGTTCGGGTTGGCCAGCGCTACTCCAGAAGTCACCTGCAGATGTCGCCAAAATCATTATTCAACCAACACATAGAGTAGCCGACGGGATGTTATTTTAAAGTTAGAGTAAATTTACTCATTAAACCATGTTATCGGATTTATATCGACATTTTTGGTTGTTAGAACTTAAGTTGAACACAAAGTGTCACCTGTAATTTCTTAGCATTTAAATCCGAGAGGACAGAACGTCGCTGATGTTTTAGCATTGCAAATTCAACGGTGACAAGTTACCGGGAATAAGATCAGGTTTGCATATGAGCACCGCTCATACACACTCAGGTACACCCAATGGGTTCCCTGACCAGGGAATGAGTGCGGTCTGTATCAACTGCGCGTTTAATTAGCACATTCCTCCTGCACTTGAAGTCGATGTGCGCCGCTGGGCACAACAACACTCACTAAAGTGCTTGACTTCAGTCCTGTTAAGAGGAAGACACGATGGGATGCACTTCTAGCACTCAGACCACAGCTCAAGACACAACACGACCCAACACCAAACAAGATGGATGCACATCAGGTAAGACTACACAACCCCAAAAAAATCACAATTGAGCTATATTTGGTCAAATATTGTTGATTTGCAAGGTGTTTCATGAGGTTAAGAAAGAATTGTAGGTGAGTGGGCACTGCATGCATACATAGTGTGATTATAGATGTCATAATGTAGACACCAATGCTAAAATGCTTGGCAGATCCTTAAGTGATAGAGGAAGATTGTGATCATCTTAGTTACTTTTTTGGATCCTGGGTCACCCCAACTTGAAACTGAACCCTCAACTATTGTGTAAGGCACCCAGATCCTTATCCAGAATGCTGTCATCAGTCCACCATACAGTTTAGATCTACTTGACTAGAGAAACGTACAGTATTCATTACACTAAAAGTCCCCATGGAGAAACCTAAGGTTAAACGGCTTGCCCAGAGCTTAAACCATAAGACTATAACTGAAAGTTACAAGAAAAAGGATGTTTTATGGTTTAGATCAGTGGTTCCCAACCCTGGTCCTAGAGGCACCCCAACACTGCACGTTTTGCGTGTCTCCTTAATCAAACATACCCGATTCAGGTCATCAGCTCATTAGTAGAGACTCCAAGACCTGAAAGTGGTGTGCCAGAGAAAGGAGACATGCAAAATGTGCAGTGTTTGGGTGCCTCCAGGACCAGGGTTGGGAACCACTGGTTTAGATGACAATTTCAAATTGCAATTTGATAACTGCTTTTAAATTATTAACATTCTTTCAGAGAAACACTATATTATAAGTTTTTTATAATCAGCATGCATGCAGTTTTTATGATCCCATGTTACAATTTATGTGTTTGGCAGATGTTTTAATCAATAGTGGCAAAATGCAATTACTACAAACCCATGACTCAGTTGAGCTACAGGAACAAAATATTTGTACTTTTAAAAATGGATTTGTCACACTGCAGCAGCAAAAAATGTGATTAGAAATGGTAAAATATTTAAAATGGTGACTGGTCAGAACACCTAAAATATACACGCAAAACTTTTGCGTGTCTCCTTAATCAAACATACCCGATTCAGGTCATCAGCTCATTAGTAGAGACTCCAAGACCTGAAAGTGGTGTGCCAGAGAAAGGAGACATGCAAAATGTGCAGTGTTTGGGTGCCTCCAGGACCAGGGTTGGGAACCACTGGTTTAGATGACAATTTCAAATTGCAATTTGATAACTGCTTTTAAATTATTAACATTCTTTCAGAGAAACACTATATTATAAGTTTTTTATAATCAGCATGCATGCAGTTTTTATGATCCCATGTTACAATTTATGTGTTTGGCAGATGTTTTAATCAATAGTGGCAAAATGCAATTACTACAAACCCATGACTCAGTTGAGCTACAGGAACAAAATATTTGTACTTTTAAAAATGGATTTGTCACACTGCAGCAGCAAAAAATGTGATTAGAAATGGTAAAATATTTAAAATGGTGACTGGTCAGAACACCTAAAATATACACGCAAAACACACCTTCCCTTTATACATTAACATGTTTTAACCTAAAATGTTGATATTGATTGCAATCTTGTGAACATTCATAAAATGTGTTTTAAAAAACATTTAAATAGAATTTTGAGTTTGGTTGTATTGAATTAAATTTGTCAAACAAATGAAGTAAATTTGTATTTTGCTTTGTTGATGTTACATGTCTGTTTCCTGAGATATCACAGTGGGTGAGTTCTTGGAATTTGAGGAAATACATTTTGGGTGATCCCTCAAGTGTGGTGACATTTAAACAAAGTGTGTGCTTATGGAACTGAGAAGAAGGTTTCATGTAAATGTTGTGTGCTTTAGATCACAGATGTCCGATGCCATAAAGCTCTGCTAGTTTGCCTGTTTTAATACATCCATTTTCTTTCAGCACCTGTTGTTACGTTAAGCTTTATTATTTAACCAGAACGTCAGTGTATTGCTTTCAGTTTCATATAATTACTAGTAGTGTAGCTTCTATAATAGACTAGACCAAGCTTTAGTTTAAGGGTTTCTGTTAAATTAAAAGGTCTCAGAAAGAGTTGTCTTCTACCTTACTGACACTTGACACACACAAGATGGGAAAAGAGAAAGGACACAACATATTTTTCATATTTCTGTATTGATGAAATGTGAATTCTGTGGAAAAGATTTAAATGTAGTAAAATGTGTTGAACCGAGCTGAGTATACTGAACTCAAATTGGAATATTTTATCAGTATTGAAATTGAGATGGTTTGTGCTGTGGAAACCTGTCTGAAAAAAAAATAAATATAATGCTGCTGTGGAAATTACACAATATATCACAAGTTCTTTCTCCGTGCAGGCCTAGTTGTACTCCTTTTGAATGTTTTATAATCAAAATAAATAATTATATGTAAAAAAGGCTATATGTACAATATTTAAAAAGGGTATTTTTTTTAATCATTGATATACAAATTTATTTTGTGTATATTTTGAATTTAGATATTTAAAAATTGTGGTTTTGTCTTTTTTTTTTTTTTAATTTCTGAGTAGTTTAAGTTAGTTTTTAGTTTTAGTAAAGTGCTTCAACTTCAGCTTATTTTCGCAACATTTCTAATTTTTTGTTTTATTTATTACATTTTATTTTAAAGTTGATTTTACTTCAATTAATGAATTCTTTTAATGCTTTTAGTTTCAGTTCACGATGATAACCCTGGTGAAAACATTTGTCTTAATCTTTAAGGAACAAGTAATGAAAACGGTGGTCCTGCAGCAGACAGTGAGACGATTCCAGACCAAACCCAGGCTGAGGAATCTCCACAGACATCCAGTGCACCTCCTGAAGCCTCGGAGGAAATACAGAGCTCTGAGGCTGCTGTAGCTCACAGTGAACCAGAAGCAGCTGCTACTGAGGCCGTTACATCTGACCAGCCTGCTGAAGCCGAATCCAGCCCCTCTACGACAGCTGAGAATACCGACGAACCAGCACCAAGTGGTACGTTTCACATTTACAGACAACAGCACGTCAGGTTTCTGCCAGTTTCCATAACTTAAAAGGACTGTGAGCAAAGTCTCATGGAAAAACTGGCGCAGAGTAGTTCTTCAAGATTAAAGTACATAATACCTTGTGTTCTGGGCTTGTGCATGCAAATGGCTTTGGTACTTTCAAGGGACGTATCTCTAGATGCAAAACACTGTGCACATTCTCTTTTGCAATGAAGGCTTCCTGGAATACCTTTGTATTGTTATAAGAAGTTAAAGCACCATTTTACACATTCATACTTAAGTGAAAGGTGATGGCACTAGTTTAAACAGGTAATAGTGTGTTTGTTTAACACTAAGTAACCTGACAAGTGTCCTACTAACTGTTCGGTGACCCAGGAGTACAACACTGCCCTGCTTAGTTTCCCCTTTCCAGCCCTGTTACCGAACGTTTTACTAAGGGTTTCTAGCAGATGTTCTGAAATCTGATGGTCTGAAAAAGGTTAGGAGAACTGAACCTTGAGAGAGAGCTTGATTTCTGGTTTATGAATACACAGTAAAAATGGAATTGGGAGTAGTGCATTATTTTCATCTTTAACAGTAGTTCCTTTGGCCAGATCTTAAATGTGGCGAGGGCCATAGCATGCCTCACTGCCTGAATTTTAAATGTAAATGACAATTTATCCACGGATGCAAATGTCTTGGGTGCAATATGGAAAAAAAACTTTGACATTGTCAAATAACATAATGACTAACCACAGAACAGAATGCAACAAGAACTAATACTCTGCTGGACACAGCAACTGATTTTAAATACTCATTTTATATTTTTAATTTGTTTTAGAAAGTCCAACGTGAGAAACACACAGGACGTGTCCTAAAAAGATACAATCAGCTAACGTTCTCTGTAGACGGATACATTTATCATATATATATATATATACTGCATATGAATGAGAATTTGAGTTCGTTTTTAATAAACTTTTTTACTTATTTTTTTTAGTAACAAATTTATTACCAATTATCAACCATTATGAATAAAAAAAAATATGAATTAAGCCTAAACTAAATTAATGGAAATAATTACATGCATCTCTATTTCCACAGAAAATACAACTGAGGCCCAGGCCGAATCTTCCCCACCAGAGGAAGCACCTGGTAAGTAGCGTAATACGATGCAAGACAGACCTAAAAAGTTCATCATCTCCCGAGGATAAATATCTTGTCTGATTTCCCATACCACTTAATCTCTTTCAGCCTCTGGTGAAGATAGTTAAGTGTGCATCATTTGGCACAGTTACTACAGAATCCAGACTCAACCACCTATTTTCAATAAAATCAAGATTTCATACGCATAGTTTAAAAATACAGTGAAACATTAGCTTATTTATTAAATAGATATTGCTTGTTCGTTGCCAAGATATAGACCAACTGGTCTTCAGAGACTCTGTGCCTGTCTTTATATACAAAGATTACAAACATCCCACTCCAGTTATAGTTTATTGAATTATTATTGCTGGCTTTAGCTAGATATTTCCTTCAATATTTAATATCGGTGCCTATTTTAGTGGCTTTACCCCTCTATAAAAAATGCAAAAAGCCAAAGAGAATATGAAAATTGTGGAATGCTATTTATATAATTATGTAATATTTTAACCAACTGAAATAAAATGTTACATACATTTTAAATGACAATGGACATAATATTTGAAAAACAGGCCTTTTGGTTTTATTTATTGTATGCTAATGTTTTCCTGCAACAAACACGACAGATTTAACTCAACAAATGCAAGTAATGTTGTTTTTGTGTTGTGGTTGATTTAATGTGATAATGACAAGTTTAAAAATAAAGCTGAATTGAACTGGGTTTTGAATTGTTGCTATTATAGAATATATAATGATGATCAACCGTAAATTGGAAACCCTCAATAGCATGTTTATATTAGCAAACTGGGCAACAGACTTGGTGACTTCCCTGTTATCAGTTTAATGGGAGGTTAAATGTCTGATTGATTTTGTAATCTGGGATGTGGTTTGTCTCCGTATAACTGTATTTACAATTTATGATTCATGCTGGGTTCATATAGTCAGGAGGCATCCGTGATGGGCCCCAACACAGCGATCGCTTCGATCTCAACAAGTCCCCCCTGTAAAACAGAAAGTGTTTAAATGAGGTATAAACACAATGCAGATTTATGGGATTTTCCTCGTTTTTTAACTCAAGTTGATCACTTACAGTAAAGTAACAGCACAACTCTCCACAAGAAGTCATATAATTTGAGGTATTCTTCATCTCCATAGCTCAAGCAGTGTGAGATGGATTGTGTGCCAAGTTTAATACTTGCACAACTGTTCAAAGGTTTTGGTCAGACTTTTAAATGTTTTGAAAGAAGTCTCTTATATTCACCAAGGCTGCATTTATTTGATTAAAAACCGTAATAATGCGAGACATTTTTTACAATTTAAAATAATGTTTCTATTTTAATATATTTTAAAATGTAATTAATTCCTGTAATGACAGTTACATTTTCAGCATATAACTCCAGTCTTCAGTGTCACATGATCCTTCAGAAGTCATTCTAATAGGCTGATTTACTGACCCCAAACTTTTGAACCGTAGTGTGTAGTTAACTTAGCAAACACCACTAACTAGTCTGTGTTTAATACTCACTCTGGGCAGGGCAGCTACTTGATAGGCAGCTCTAGCTGGGAAATTGCTCTTGAAAACTGAAGAAAGACAAAAAAAAACCCATCTGTGTTCTTTACTGATGACAAAGATAAACAAAACTGGCAGTAAAGTTGAGCTATATAAGATATAATCTTCATCTGGTATAGTTCTTGTGATAATGAAAAGCAGCCTCTTATGCCTGTGTTTATATGTATCATTAATTGCATCATAAGTTTTAAAGAGAGAATGACATGAATTCAGTTCAGAGTATTTGTTGATGCTGCAGGTTTGCATGTCACATCACGGAAAGTTCTGTGTGGTAGGAGGCAGTGATGATGGGTTGTCCTCGTAAAGAGGAGGCTTTCGTTTCACAGAACTGCACTGTATCCCTTTACACGCAGACAGGATAGGATTACCCATCAGCATTGTGTTCAAGAGGAAATACCCAGGGATGCACAGAGGCATCATTGTGGAACATTTGAATAATCAATAACTTGCATAAAGCATTAGCACTAAAGTGCAGGATGGGAAGTAAAGTTATTTTAGAGGAAGGTATATACAGGGAACACAAATGTCATGATTGTTTTTAACTCCACAACAAAGGACACCAATGTCATTCCCAATTATGAGGTTTTCTACATTAGCAAGACTACTGAAACGGAAGGCAAATCTGTGGTTGTATGTGTGTATGACACTCTGTGATGAATTATTCCACCATGATTCTTTTATTCATACTCACACTGCTTGTAAACATCATTGACGTTATTGAAGTCATTAATGTCTGCCAACAACACTGTGGTTTTGACAACTGCAAAAAAAAAGAAAAAAAAAAAGATAAAATAAAAGTACAGTTTATAAAATGCCTGAAAATTTATAAGAACTGACATGTTAAAAAAAAAAAGTTCACTCAAAAATGAAAATTTGCTGAAAATTTACTTTCAGGCCATCTGAGATGTAGATAAGTTTGTTTCTTCATCATAAAAAAAATTGGATAAATGTAGCATTACATCATTTGCTCAGCAGTGGATCCTCTGCAGTGAATGGGTGCCGTCAGAATGCGAGTCCAAACAGCTGATAAAAACATCACAATAATCCACAAGTAATTTACAGTCCATCAATTAGTGTCTTGTGAGGTGAAAAGCTACATGTTTGTAAGAAACAAATCCATCATTTCTAACTTCAAACCGTTGCTTTGGGTTGCCATATGGAATACAGCATACATCCTAGATGGCGTGAGGGTGAGTACATTTTCAGCAAATTAAAATTTTTGGGTGAGCTATTACTTTAAGCAGGTGATGCTTGATGATTTACCATTTTCATATCCACATCCAGCAGCTTTCAGAATCTCCCCCATATTAATGAGTGCCTATGTAGTTGTAAGGAAAAACACTGAAACATGCATAACTACATTTATCCAATATTGGATTTTTAAGTGAAAATAACTGCTTTGTGTAATAAAACTTGTTAGTTTGTGTATTAAAGTCAACGTGAAATCCAAACTGACCATATATACTTAATATATTAATTACTTAAAATATAATTCTAATACATGATTGTGTATGATATTCATCAAAATGTCAACAATTATTTAAGGGCCACTATATGCGTTTTGTCACCTGCTTGGCCTGAGCCTGCACTCCTCCTGCCACCAACTGTCCACCAACGTCCATGCCGATCTGTCCTGAGATGTACATTGTACGGTCCACCAAAACGGCCTGGCTGAATGTAGTAGCAATATAATTTAAAATGTGAATTAATAGTGAACTCTGATTTAGGAAGGAATAAGGATGTTTTACTAATATACATTACAATGCATTGTGGGAAATGTTGTCTTCCTCTGCCTTCTGTCGGCACAAACAGTGCACTGCAGTTATAACTAGCCCAACAGCCGATCAAGTTTTCTTGCTTTATTTAAGGTTGGGCATAGTATATTTGGATATTATTAATCAGAAATTGGATACTTAATATTATATAATCTAAAATATCACACAGTAGCATTGCGGACCACAAAGATCAATTGTAAGTTCAGCTTGAGAGATCATAGTCCAAGACAATATCAAGTCCAAGTTAATATGTGTCTAATACAAGACAACTTCAGTAAGTTATACAATGCAAAAATTACTGCCAGTTGTTTTAGCACAACGTTTACACAACTGCAAGATCATAGGTCAGCTCATACATTAAATCTAATCAATATTGATTCATGCTGGTTTAATGATGTACAGTAATCAGCTGAGCATAAAGTGAAATGTATATAATGTAGAATATATGCAAAAAACAAAACAAAAAACACTAATCTAGTGCCAGAAATACTTTTCCAAAGCCATTTTTAACATAACCATACTGTTAAAGCAGAAGATACCGCATTGACCTCTTGTCAAGTCAATGAACTTGACACCTCCTCTTACTGTCTATTGGTTAAAACATCAACACCCCTATTGTAACCACTTTCAAGTGCATTTTATGCTAAATAAATAAATACATTAATTAATTAAAATAAAAAGCTCTTAGTAAATGGTAAATGCCTTTTCTTTTTTTTCTTTGGAGAAACCCTTTTATATTTTTATAAAGGGGGTTGAAGCCCCCAGTTAAAATGATAAAACGGTTGTGTTATGGAGCGTTACAGAAATATTATCATAATGCATGCATAAAATCCCTATTTTACAATTGAAAACCGTTTTGAATCTAAATGCTATTGTTGTGTAACATTAAAGTGAATGAGAAGACTCTTACCTGTATATGCCTTGTCTAATAGGGGCTTTAGGTGTATATGGAATTTTTCTCTGAATAAAATCCATCTCATCCAAACAGTTTATGAAAAGTAAATCGCACCAAATCTCCAGCACAAAGTTGCTGAGTGCGCTTTGTAAAGACACGCCTCGAACAAATATTGCATTGCAGCCTATGTCAGGTCTTTTGTTGCTCAATGCTGGCTGTTAAATGCATAGCTGGAGGTGTTTTATATCCATATGCTAGAGCATGTCACATGTGCGTTTGCTGAGGAACGTAAACATGCTGGTTTGACTGAACAGCAGACAGACAGACTCTCACCTGTAAGGCCCGATGGCGGCTGGAGCAGCTGCAGTGTGAATGATCTTCCTAATAACCGCAGACATCTCTGAACACTGAGATCCCAACGACACCCGCCGCGAAGCACAGCTGTCGGTAAACTTCTACTTGAGTTAGTGAATGAGAGTAAAGCAGGTTTGTTGGGATTCACTTCCAGTAGGCGTCAGCTATTCCTACCATAACGACCCACATATAGAGACATTTGTATTTACGATCCTTCAATAACATGTCGCACAGTATGGAACTATATTTAGGAGAAAGTTCAAGGAAATAAATCGTAGACAGAACATGTATGGTTAAACAAGCTGATACAGGTCTTTATGCATAAATATAGTAGTTGTCACATGACAGAATAAAGCAGAGCTCTGTGTAATAGAGTGATTACGGTAATTAATGTAACCAGTTAAGAAGTCTTCATCTTCTGTTTTTTATGGTTTGTAGGCCTAAATATAATTTTATAAATATTAGCTTAATTACTGTAGTTTAAAAAAAAGTGTTTATAGTTTAAATTGTTTGGGGGAATGTTAAAATCATATTCAAACCATGTTTTTGTAACTTCAGACTAAAAAGTTTAATTTTGAAAAAAAAAAGTAAGTTTTTTTGCTCTCAAAAAGAACAATTTCTATTTAAGAAAAAAATTTTGAGCTAAAAAAAAAATAGAACAACATTTTACTAATTTTCTAGGACTGGAAATCATTAAAATTTTCCCTTTGTTTGGTTTGTCTGTGTATTGTTGTGAAATAAGTGCACATGGAGTTTAAGGAGACAAGTAACAGACCTTTATTCAAAAACTCTATGCAGAGTGCAAAAAATAACATACATTATGAATAACGCACAATAAATTAGAGTGTTCAGTAAAAATGTGCTTATGTAAATGTCAGAGTATGAAATAAACTGATATAACTCACAACTGCAGGAAATGTAAGGCATTGGTAACATCCCTAACTATTTTATGAATAAGCTTTTGTAAAAAAAGAAAAATAATTAGCAGACTATACTTCAAACCAACTCAGATTTATAGACATCATCAGTCCACAATCAGGGCATAAACATTGTGAGAGTCATTTTAAAGTCTATTTAAAACAACTCACGCTTCTCTGAAAAGATTCAGCAACTGGTTTAGGTCATTCACATTACTGGCATTGTTACATTACTATGTCCTTGAGTTGCTGTATTGCTTTTGGTAGTTATGGAGACTCAATAGGCCTAGTAATGATGGTACCATTACCATAATGAGAAACAAAATCAACTGTATTGGAATGACTCGATCTTTGAAAAAGACCAGAAGAGAGACAGTTCAAAGCCGAGCAACGCCTGAGATAAAACGAGAACTTTAAAATGGGGCACAGGAAAAGTAGTTCTCACTTCCTCACAAATACTTGCCACAAGTTATCAAAAAGCCAGTGGCAGCGAAGAGACCATAGGGAAGACATCACACAGAAACATTCAGAAACCGAGAAAGTGACATTCAGCATAAATAAGCCATGCATATTTACAAAGCTGTGGACAGATGTTTCAAACCTCACTTTGTGCCGACAAGGAATTTTGATGGGATGGGAAATTGGGAAGCATAGCTGCAGGAACGGTCCCATTTCTTTCTAAATTAATACCAGTAACGATGACAGTGGCATCTTTACTCTAAAATGGTCCCAAATTAGCAGAATACTAACCTATAGCTTGGTGATGCAAACTTCAAAAAAAGGGTTATCAAGCGCTCGAAGGCATTCTCTACTTTTGATTGTCTTTGGTTTAGTAATCCATTCACACTAAAAATGACTTTGCAGCAGTCCAACCAGCATTTCTTAAAAATTCAGCCACAAAACTTCACATTTTCACAGTAAATTTCGCCTTGGATTCATTTACAGTATTAAGAAAGTATTAACCACGGATGTAGAGATGGCTTGAATTTTAAAGTTAAGGAAGAAAAGCCTAAACTTCATAACAATAGAGAGTGAGACTGATTAAGATTGTGAATAATTTGTTCTGTTTAAAGTGAACTCCTAATATTGTGCCCTTTGAATTCTAAAGAACAAACTAACAAATCGTGATTTTAGGTTTTATACATCCACTGGGACCTTCTTCGAATGTACAAACAGCAGGAGTCTAGAATAAGATGCATCAGTACAAAGACTGAACACAGAAGGGGACATAAGATCTGGCCAGCCAGCTTTGAAGCTTCAGCATCTGTGAAGTCGGTTAGAAGTTCTGCTGCCGGCGTTTCTTCGCATCCATGGCGTCAAGGATGGGTTGCCTCTTGGCTGTGTAGCGCTGCCGCAGATCTTCAATCTCTCGCTCCATCATGGGGTCCAGAGCAGAAAGGCGCATCTGGAGCTCCTCAAAATCGAGGTTTTTCAGCTTCACAGACAGAAACACACAGTGACTCATTTGATTCAGCTTTATGCATAAACAACCGATCATAAGAACATCATCAGAGCACTTACAAAATCGAAATCTCCATCTTGTGGCACTTTCCAATTATCAGGGAAAGCGGTCTTGGAAATTAAACACGGGTCCTGCTGGTTGTGATTGTAACCCTCTTGTGCTTTATTTGAGTCTTGTTTGTCGAAGTAGTCCATGAAGGATGGACGTTGAATTTGCTGAGATGTAGGATTTCCTGTTTAAAGGAAAAAAACATCAGATTAAACATTTCTCAAAGCAGCACAAAAGTGTTAACGTAAGGAAAAATACATAAATACTCACTCCTCATCGAGCCGAGATCTACCTCCTCCTCCTCATCATCATCATCGCTGTTAATGACCATGGTGCCCAGGTCAGACTCCAGCATGGTGCTGCCGTGCTCGATCATGGTCTGAGCACCGTCGCTCATGGTGCCTGTGGCTCGCATGGTTCCAGCGCTCTCTGAACCAGACTTCACCATGGTGTGGGAATCCACTTCCACTTCCTCATCCTGCACAATGCAGTCACATACGACATCAGCTACAACACAAACGCTGACGTAAACTGAAGAACTAATATACAACGTCGGTGAATTATCTCACCGAGTTCTCGTCATCCTCCTCCAGCTCTCTCTGCTGCTCCTGTTGTCTCTTGGCCTTCATCTCCATGGCCTCTGTGATCAGGTCCCGCAGGATGGTCACCGGCTTAGCATTGGTTATAAATGGATGCTGCCGGATAGACAATGAAAAGCATACCAGATGTTTATGAACAGGACTTGGATGGAAAACCAAAAAACAAATCCCCAAAATAAAGCAGGGAATGAATAAATAGCTGTATGAATCATACACAGGAACTAGTAGTTAGCAATATTTTTGGCTCTTCCTATACCTGGAGCAGTTGAGTGGCCGTTGCTCTCTGCTCTGGGTTCTTCACCAGACATTTCTTCACAAAATCTGTGAATTCATCACTCCACAGCTCTGGCTTGCGGAAAGTGGGTGGAGGGTTTGTGGGGATCATAAAAATAGCCTGATGACACAAAAAGACAAAACAAGACACCATCAGCAACCAGTTTCTTGTTTAAATTCCACATCAAGGACTTCTCAGCATGTTCCACTCACTCTCATTGGATGAATGTCTGCATAAGGAGGCTTTCCTTCGGCCATTTCTATGGATGTGATGCCGAGAGACCAGATATCTGCCACGCAGTTGTAGCCGATCTCCTGGATTACTTCAGGGGCCATCCAGAAGGGTGTTCCTATAACCGTGTTCCTCTTCGCCATTGTGTCCTTTTGTGGACATTATAAATAAACATGATTAGTTCATGAAACATGATATACACGACCAGTTTGGATACACTTGACCGAAACTGATCTTAGATGATCATGGATGAGAGAAAAAATTTTCATTTGGATACTTAAATACTTAGAATATTAATGTAAATTATGTTTAGTTTTTACAAAAACTTTTAATGAATGATTTGGGCTCAATGATAAAGAAAAAAGTGAGGCTTTTTTTTTGAAAAAGCTAAAAATACAAAATGTATTCGTTTAAAACAACATAATTCCCACACGTCCACACTACGGAATTACACTATTTGTATTTTTTTTATTCAACAAATAATGAAAAAAAAAAAAAAAGACAAACAAGCAAAAAGCGCATGATGTTTTATATTTTTAATGACTTTTTCTATTATTCTAAAATATAGAATATTTTAATAAAAATGTTGAGTAATATTCAAACCTTTAACTAGCAGTTTATGCAAGTTCTACATTAAGCCAAGATAGTTTCAATACTCACGGTAAGTTGTCCAGCCACTCCGAAATCAGCTAGTTTAGCATGGCCCTCTGTGTTGAGGAGAATATTCCCTGCTTTGATGTCTCTGTGGATTTTCCTCATGAAATGGAGATACTCCAGACCTTTCAAGGTGGATTTGAGGACTGTGGCGATCTCATCTTCGGTGAGCTTGTCAAGAGAGAAAAAATAATAATTTTTTGGTGTTACTAACCATGCAATGAAGTTCTGTAGTGTATTTAAAACAGTTGTATTGTATTTACCGTTTTGTTGCGCAGTCTGATGATATCAGACACCGATCCAGCGCCACAGTACTCCATCACAATCCACAGATCTGTGTTCTTGAAATAGCTGCCATAGTACTTCACCACATAAGGACTGTTAAAATACAAGAAAACAGTAACTGCAGTGTTGGGAAATGTTTCATATAGAGCCAATAATGAGAGTTTAGTAAAACGTTACTTTTTATTCATTATTAGACTGTTTTACCTGTCACATTGCTGCATTATGGAGATCTCTTTGATGATCTCCTGGAGGTCTGATTCGACAGGAACCTGTTTAATGGCCACAACCTGGCCTGATTCCTTGTGAATGGCTTTAAAAACACTGCCATATGATCTGAACCAAAAAAACAAAAGTCATTATATTAAATTTTTAAACAAAACTTATGCCTACAACATCACTTAAGAAGTATAATGTTAATACACACCCTTCTCCAAGCTTTTCAAGGACATCAAACACTTCCTCTGGCTGCTTGGTAAGACTGTCTTCACTGAGTTTCTTCAGTTTACTGTCATGAATAAACAAAATCGTAGTTTATTTAATGCGTAAAACGTCATGGGTCCAGACAGCAGAAGTTAAAATCTAACCTAAACTTATATATGCACCAATAAACATAACAACAACTGGTCTTGTAGCTTTAGTTAATTACGAACATTAAGATATTAACCCAATAATCTATTCTAGTTCGTTAACTGATCTGCAGTTTCAGTTTGGTTAGTAAGACGAGGCCTGTAAATATTAGCTTGACTGATAGCTGGTTAGCCAAGCTAATCTTTTCACTTACTTTTTGGGCACCGAATGCTCCATTCTTGTTATTCTAATGAACAGGTAATTTCCGATTAATTTCAAACACTTTGTTTGCTTAAAACTTAAGAAATAAAGCAATAACGCATGTTTTGTTTGGACTTTCAGGAAGCACTTTCTGTCTTTCCGTGCCGCCGCTAAAAACGATGTGAAGCGAGCTGACGTGTGGGATTTTCCGTGACAAACCGTACTTCAAAATAAAAGTCCCACGAGCGTCATTGTTAAGACAAAAAAATACTGTAACTATCCAATTTTTATAAAATACAAAATTTGATTACATACTAAATTCTATCTATTTAATACTAAATATATCGCTTGAGGCTCAGCGAGGTTGCAATAATGGAGACTCTCATTTACAGCGTTGCAGCAGAAAATAAATTATACATTAACACCATGAATCCATTCAAAGGCCAGTTTGAGAGTTTCAGTGGCTTTCATTTAGTTTCATATTTATGGACAGCTATTTAATGTTGTTTAAACGTTCCTCAGAGAGATCAAACACGAGTCTCCTCTGCACTTGTTATATGGGGTGAAATGAGGCCGATGTATGCAGATTCAAACATATAGCCTAATGGTGTTCAGTTTGTACAATTAGTTAGTTTCTGACTGTTTATGATTGGCTGAGCAGTGTTTCAGAATACAACAATGGGCCATTTCACTTTTTATCACTCCACTTGTTCATAAACCAGCGGTATACATAGAGAGCCAGGAGCAGAGTTTACGTAGAGTTGGTTTGTGCACCAAATTGGGAAATGAAAAGCCCAGAGTGACTCTGTAGATGAATAGGAAGTGCAAATACACAAAACTAACTGTCCAAAACTTATATTACCGAATATTGTTTATTGTAAGCAATATCACACTCACACGCTGCAATGCTGAATATCTAGATGTCATTCTAATATTGTGGAATCCTTGAATGAGAATATAATTCCTCCTTCACCCAGAAGAGGGCAGCCAACCACTGGACAGTGTGGACAGTTTGTCACTCTGGGCCCCAGGGCTGTTGTCAGGGCGCCAACTAAACAGCCAATCCCTGGCAAGGTTGTACATGGGGTTGAAGTGCTGCCTAGCAACTGATTATTGGGTTATGGGTTGTTTTGCCCCATTACAATGACATTAAGGGGACAGCGAGAAGATATCTATCTATCTATCTATCTATCTATCTATCTGTCTGTCTGTCTGTCTGTCTGTCTACCTACCTACCTACCTACCTACCTATCTATCTATCTATCTATCTATCTATCTATCTATCTACCTGTCTGTCTGTCTGTCTGTCTGTCTGTGTATGTGTCTGTGGGGATGGATTAGCTGTCTGTCAGGGAAGCCCATTATTCATTGGCTGGAAGATGCTGATCCAATCAGAATATTATATTTTGAGAGAGGGAGAGAGAGCACATGCAGATAGATTAGAGCAAATAGAGGGAAAGCGAGGAGGATGGCATGTGCATGAGTGAGGGATGAGTGGGGAGGGAGGAAGAGAGAGAAGGGGTAGATATCAGCACATACCGCGTCACAGCAGCAGACTGCAGGCAGAACGTCAGAGCAGAGAGGATATAGCCGCATAGAACCAAAGCCAACACTATCATTAGACACTGAATCAGGAATATAGCATCGGATACTGTTCTACCTAAAGCTGGAGACATACACTGTGTGTGGAAGAGAGGCTGTGCATGTGAACTGAGAGAACAGCACAGCGTGATACAGCCCTGGAGAAGTGTGCCGTTAATGAGAAGAGTTGGGGAGAATGAGTCTTGACCCTGTTCAGGTCATGAAGGGGCAAGACGCCATGCCCAACACCTGCCCTTCAGCCTCAAACGGTGATAGCCAAGCATCCTGGGACGACAGCAAGGATATCCATGAAAATGTAGGTTCTACAAAGAAGCCCAAATCAGTAAGTGTCCCATTTGTGAATTCACATTCAGTTTTTGCATCATATTTGCATAGACAACTCTAACATTCATTGTGATGTGAATTTTCCTATCGCTTCTGTCCTTTTTCTGGTGAGGTCACACTTTTGTGGGCTATTTAGTGCGTGGAATGTTTACATACAGTAGCGCACATGTTTCAGTGCCTTTTTTCCAGCTGCATTTCCAGTCACTTTCCCTTCATACTGATCTGTAGCTTGTCAGAACAGCATAATTACATGAAATATAATTACAAGAGGAGCATAGCCTTTTATGTTGTGATGCCTGGTTGTGGTGTCAGTGTTTGTAAAACAGAAACAGAACAGGTTTCATGGGAAAGGAGGGGATGATAGCACTATTAGGTAACAGTACTAATGTAAGGAGATAATGCCATCGGAGGTACAGCAGGTGCAGCTCATTTTAAGTCGTCCACTGCTTATTTAGACTCTGCTAACACCACCGTAAAGATATCGAAAATGCCATATGTCATATGTTGTGCATGGCGAATAAAATAGTGACACTGCTGCCAAGGGCAGAGCTTTATAATAGGAGATTTTGTCTGGCCTAGTGCATTTGTTTAGTAACTTAGAGAACTTTAAACTTGTTATTAAATGGCACAGTCACTTTAACAGACATAAAAGCAGCTCAGTGTGTGCAACAGGCAGCTGGTCAACACCATGTGGATAATTCCCCTCTCTGCCGTAGCCTTTAGCTCTATACTTACTCTAAGCGTCACTGGCCTTTTCCAGATCTATTAATAACCTGCAATGCCATTCTCCTCTTTGTTCTCCTCTTGTTTTCTCCTGTTTCCAACACTTGCACTGCTTGCCCCAGACTGACCCAGAAGTGATTCATGGTTCCTGTTCCCAGCATTGCGGGTATAGAAAGTCACCACCCCAAAGTCTGCCACTTTGACCTGTATGAATGAACCCACATTAGCCAAGTGATGGAAATTATATTAAAATATATTATTTGAGTGAGTGATTTTTTTTTTGTACAGACTCATTAAAATCTTACATTGCAGTCTTACATACACTAAAGTCTTGATTAAAAAAAAAACTGTTAAATATTTCCAGCGTTATTGACCAGAGGCGTTACAGTTCATTTACTGCATGTACACTAGAGTGTAATTTGTCAAAATGGGAACCTGCCATTAGACAGCAAAATATAAATGATAATATACAAACATATACATTTAAATATTTACATTTATTGTTTATGTAATAAATGTTGTAAAATTACAACAGACATTATATTCAAAAGTGTGGAGTCAGTAAGATGTTTCCTTTCTGAAAGAAATTCATACTTTTATTCAGCAAGGATGCATTGATTTGATCAAAAGTGACAGTAAAGACTTTTACATTGTTATGACAAAAATCTAATTCAATCAAATAAAGGGTGTTCTTTTGAACATTCTATTCAATGAAAGAATCTTGAATAAACATTAAATAAATAATAAAAAAAATATATCCCGAGCAGCAAATCAGTAATATTAGAATGATTTCTGATGGATCAAGTGACACTGAAGACTGAAGTAATGATGCTGAAAATTATAACAGAAAACAGTTGTTTTAAAATGTAGAAATATTTCACAATATTACTGTTTTACTTTACTTTATTTTTTGATACATTTTTGACTTTATTCTTCTTTCAAAAGACTTATTATAAAACATAAAAAAGAAAATTTAACGGTGTACAATAAAAAGCACAGGACAACTTGCCCTAACAACAACAACAATAATAATAAAACTATTTATCCCAACCTGATATTGATTTTTTAAAATTGTTTAAACAACCCTGATTAAAAATGCCTCTTGACAAATAAAAAAAAAATTGTCCACTTGTGATCTTCGCATTAAAGCTCCATGACTTGTTAGCTAATAAACACCCATTGGGAAAATAGTTAACCTTTCAATATGGCATTGATCCAAAGCACATCTGCAAAGCATCTGCATATAGTTCGTCAATATCATAGCCAGAAATGATCTCTGAAATGATTTGTAAAAGGTTTACTATCAACTGGTATTTATTGTGAAATCTCAAGGCCGTTTCCAAATAAAAATGGACAATTGCTCCAATATTATGAGACTTACCACAACAAAACCACATTTTTGAAGAGTGCTGGTATCTTCTATGCTCACTTCATATTTTTAAGGAATGTTCAGTGTATGGCTTGGGTTTCAGTTTCGGCTTGGTCAAAGGGAAAGAAAACACAGAGTTTACTTAGTTTATTTACCGGGAGCTGCTACTAATACTCAATCTTGAAGCCCCCGTGGTGTTTGTAACTGTATCTGTGCCAGTGTCTCTATATCAAGAGTTTGAACCATGAATAACACTGCATACTACTGAGCAAGCATTTGAGGAGCTTTTTCAAGCACACGGTTTATATAACACATCTCCACAGGAGAACTAAACCCCTCTATAGGAACAGCTCCTCCAAAGCACTACAATATCACTTACCAATGCGTCTTAGTGAAATACAGTGTTATTTTTTGAATCAGAAGCAGTTTTTCCAATATTGTTGTTGGTCACCATGATAGGATTGTTTGCTGGTTCGTTTCTCAACAAGGCTTGTCTGTTATTTGCTTTCTGCCCCACCTGTGTTTTCCTGTTTATTTCCAACTATGGCAATCTCATCCATATGAACATATATGTATTGTGATATGCATTACATAATAGACAAATCTGTATGCCTGTGACGTGGAGGTTGATATGAAATGTTATAATTTTTATGAAGGGACCTGTCAGACGGGCCAGGAAGGTGGAGGGAGGCATATTCTTTGTAAGTATTTTCAAAGGGTCATGCAGATTTTCATCTCTGCCGTCTCATTAACAATCTGTTCTGTTTTGCGCTGCTAAACGCATGACCTTTTGACTCACAATATGGACTTACACAAATAAATACGTTAATGCATTTTAAGAGCTCAGTTTGATGGTGCTATTAGTACATTTGACAGTGTGTTTATGTCACATTACTGGGTGCAAAGAAAATTCATTTCGAAATCCATATCTGTCTTTCAGTAGATATGTCAGTGTGTCTGCCAGTGGTGTTTAACTAAAGGCAAGAGATATACGGCTTTAAGTTTTCACGTGCCTGTGCAATGCATTCAACATTTTTTGCTGTATGCATTAGAAATTGTGATTTCCTGTGATTGACCACACATGAAAGGCAGAAAATGGCAGAATGAAAAATTAGAATAAGTAGCATAACCACAATATCACACACAGTGGTGTCCAAAAATCTAAGACGAAGAGTGAAGTGAAAATCCTTTTTAATGCATTTTTTATCACACACACACACACACACACACACACACACACACGGCATGCCGGTCCCCACAATGTCAAAAATTTCAGGTTTTACTATCCTTGTGGGGACATTTGGTCCCCAAAATGTAGCATAAACAAGTACACACACACACACTCCAACAAATGTACAGTATATAATTATAGAAATTATTTGGCAGTCAGAAAAATTATCATGAATTTCACAAATTTATGCATTTGTTTAGTGACTTAGAAATAGTGCAGAATAAAAATATGAAAATAAACATTTGAAAAAAAAAAACATTTGAATATATTACAAAAATTTGAATAAATAAATAAATATTTTTCACTAAAATATGGTTTATAGTAACGGTTCTCGACCTTTTGGTATCCATGGCCCCACTTGTCAAATACAATATTTGAAGGCCTCCCACTTCTGCTATCTTTTTATTTTATTTACAGAAACCAGGAGTGGCAATATTTGAATAATTAAATAAAATATGTATAAAAACTCAAATGATCAAAATGCATAATTTCAGAAGCTTTAATAACAATGGTCATCAGGGTTTACACTTTTTTAATGAATGAATTAACTTGTCTTTATAAACTTATAGACTTTGATAGTCATATGCGATTATTTAGTTTTGTTGTGTTTCTTAAAATTATTTTTTTTACCGACAAATAGAAATTTTACATAGCTAGAAAAAACACTTCAGACTCTTTCCTCTCAATAACTCTCTTTCTTTCTTTCTTAAATAAATTTTTTTTTTTCCAGAAACACTATAATTGTTTGCATATTCACAACTTTCCCCCCCCTTAACATTTACTCATTTCCCTGTGTTTTGCATTGTTTCTGTCTGATTCAGAAAACTCTAATATCTGTAGTAAAATATCACATATAGCTGGTAAGTGGGCACCAAAGTTGCAATTTAAACAGTTAGGACATATACTAAACAGCAGGTCAATGTTCACTTTTCCTGATCTGTAAAGGACTTTTAGAGTAAATGTTCCCTCTAGCAATGTGCTGAATAGTTCAATTCTGGCCCCATTCCCTCTGTAATGCAGTGGTCACTTATCCACTCTCATTTCCTGGTGATGTCTCTTTTCCACAACCACCTGAAATACCCTATATCTTCAAACATTTCCCAGTCCTGCTCAAACCTCTCAGGATCTCCCAGCACGAGCGAGAGACACGATGCGACATGACTCATCTGGAATGGCAAATCGTTCTCCGGTTCTTTGGGGAAAGAGACTGTTAACTCATCACAGATCAATTTACACAGGCTTGTCCTTTTCCCATAACCCCCCAGGCATGTACATGTCTGGGGTTGGAGGGTTGTCGCTCGGTTGAGGGCGTGTTGAACAGCACGAACAGAGGTCTGCGTCATGCGGTAGCCCCTTTCCAAAATTAACTAGCCCTGCTCTTCCTGTGACATACTCAGTTGATGTGTGGCCATGTGACTATACATAGGCACTGTACTTGTTTTATGCTCTGCTGCTGTGAATCACATTACTGACTATATACCACCTGATGCATCACCGGCAACTAAATTACATAACACAGGTTGACAGCATTACTTGGAAATGAATTTTTGTATCACTGGATCACATTTAGTTGTCTGTGACTGGCTGCATATGAAATACTGACTGAACAATAAAATTGGGGAAAGAGCTATTGTGATGACCATGATAATCTCAAATTATCCAGTCCTGTCCGATCTACTCTGAAACCAGAGATCCTAATGTGCTCTTCATTAATCACACTATTCTACCTTCTCACTTTAAGAGATAATCTGTAATGACGCATGATTGCTTGCTGTGGAGAGATGACTATTGCATTTCATACTGTTCTTTCAGCTGCTTTATGCACTCTGTAGAATTTATTTCTTGCTGGCTCTTTTTAAAGGGATAGTTCACCCAAAAATGAAAATAATTGTCATCATTTTATGTAACGAGTGGTCAATATGGCTTCTGAGCTATATTTTAAGTCATCTGAAGTTATGTGATACATTAGTGGCATTGTTATTCAATAAATTCTCCCTTCGTGTGTGCTTATGTATATTCAAATGTGGTGCATAAAAGGGATAGTTCACCCAAAAATGACTTGAAGGTGAGTAAACAATGACAGAATTTTATTTTTTGGGTGAACTATCGGTCTTGATATGTCTTGCCAGGTTTTAAATCAATGATCTTAAATGTCACTGGTTCTTGTTTTGAACAGTGTTGTTATTGTACACCAAAAGTAAAACTATTAAAAATAGTTTTTTTGTTAATTAAAGTAAAGATTAACTAACTAAATAACTATATATATATACACACACACACACACTGTATATATATACATAATAGATGAAAATAATCTACTTAAAAAAATAGAAATAAAATAAAAAAACAGAAATAAAATACATTTAAGTTACAGTACAAAAACAACTAAAACTGAAATAAATATAACTATTTTTTTTTTAAATTACAAAAGAACGTAATAAAACTACTAAATTTACTAAAATTAACAGTATACAATATGTTAGATGTAAATATACTCATATTCAAATGGAATTCAAGAGCTATGATGGAGATGAAGATTATTATAGTGAAAAATATATTTAAAAAAATTGTCACACAAAGCTATGTTTTGACTTCAGAAGATTTGTGATAGTGCACAAGTCATATAGACCACTTTTATGAAATCAGTGCACATGCTTTTAACAAACAGAGTGTGTTATATGCTCAACATTTGTAATGAATGTCTCACAGTGAATGTCTCACTCTTTCACCATCTCTCTTCAGCCCAAACCAGAGAATGCGGTCACCATTGCTGTGTCATCGCGGGTTCTGTTCCGCACAGAGAAAGAGCAGAAGGTGTTCGAGCAGAAAGGAATAGAGGAGTACCTCAGGTATCAGGTGGAGCACGAAAATGAGCCCTTTGCTCCAGGCCCAGCATTCCCATTTGTTAAGGTAATAATGCACAATAAAATATCATGCATTATCAATTTATAAAGAGTTATTTTTTAGACATTGCCTTAAAGGAATAGTTCACCCAAAAATGAAAATTTGCTGAAAATTTACTCACTCGCCATCCAAGATGTAGATGAGTTTGTTTCTTCACCAGAACAGATCTGAAGAAATTAAATCACTTGCTCAACAATGGATCCTCTGCAGTGAATGGGTGCCGTCATCAGAATAAGAGTCCAAACCACTGATAAAAACATCACAATAATCCACAAGTAATCCACACAACTCCAGTCCATCAGTTAACGTCTTGTGAAGTGAAAAGCTGCGCGTTTATAAACAAATGCATCATTAAGATGCTTTAACTTTAAACAGTTACTTCTGTCCAAAATATGAGTCTATAATCCATAATAATGCTTCCTCCAGTGTAAATAGTTAATTCCCTGTTGTCCTCTTACAGCAAAATCCACCAACATATTTGTTTAGAATTGTTTTGGACTGGCAAGATGACTTTTTCACTGGAGAAGCAATATTATGGCTAGAGGGATATTTTAGCTGGAATCAACAGTTTTAATTTAAAACATCTCAATGGTGAATTTGTTTATTACAAACACAAATGTTGTAAACTTAATTACTTGTGGATTATTGTGATGTTTTTTTTCCTAGCTGTTTGAACTCTCATTCTCTTATTCTCATGCTGAGCAAGTGATGTAATGCTAAATTTCTTCAAGTCTTTTCCGATGAACAAACAAATTCATCTACATCTTTGATGGCCTGAGGGTGAGTACATTTTCAGCAACTTTTCATTTTTGTGTGAGCTATTCCTTTATCAGTATTGACTGCAATATTCTCACTGTCTACTACTTACTTCATTTGATTATTTTGCGTGTTTCCTCAGGCACTGGAGACAGTAAATAACCGGTTGCGGGAGCTCTATCCAGACAGCGAGGAGCTTTTTGATATTGTGCTGGTAACCTACAACCATGCTCATGTAGGCATCAGACTCATCAACACCATCAACTACCACAGTAAGTATAATTTGCTGACCTTCTAATAACCTGGATTCATACTTTCCACAAACATGTAAATGGTCATAAATGTCAATTCTTGCAAAAAATGCTACCCTTGGGTGATCGGTGTTGACAATGGATGATAGGCTAATTATTAAAGGGATAGTTCACCCCAAAATGAAAACTGTCATCATTTACTAATTTAAAAATAATAATAAAAAGAAAGAAATAAAGGTGCCTCATCATGGAATCAAAAACAACAAAACAGTAAAATGTTATGCTATATGTTACACTGCTATGCTATATTATTGATAATCAATAAGTCAAAGGCATGGGATACAAAGGAACGACATGATTCTGAGGACACAAAACTGGCAATGCAAATGTTTTCTTAGAAGATAAATCTCCAGTTGGCCAATCATATCTTCCCACAGAGATGCATGTGACACCTCTAACCTTTGTATCACAAACCAGCCACTTCCTGCTCAGTTCCCTTCAGCGCCCCAGCTGGATTGGTTTTGATCGTTCCGGTGGCTGACTGAAGAAAAAACAAACTTCTCTCCATCCTTTGGCCTCTCTTTGGACAAAACAACAAATATGCGGATATGAACTGACGCTTCAAAAACCATTTGAAGTCAGAACTTCATGTCCTGAACCATGAAAATGTTAGATGTTTGTTAGATGATAAATGTGAGTCTGATGCCGCAATAGTTCCAAAATCCATCACTGCAAAGAAGAAAGCTAAAATTATACAAAGAATACAACAAATAAGAATGGACCTATTTTTCTTTCATCTAAAGCCCAATAATTATTGGGGGGGTGCTTTGAAACAAGAGCCAATCAGATTACATGAAGGATTATTTGATCTAAAATATCAAGAGTGTTGAAAATGTCTCTCATGTTTCTTAGCTAATCTCACTGGAGAACAATAACCCTGTTAGCCTAGATGCATACACATCACTAATAATCATATTCATACTTTATTAAAACATTTTATAGTTATTTAGCAATATCAATTAATGATATGAAAATATTTTTACTGCTTTCCTCAATGTCACAGATATTGAGGTGTCATCAGCCAATCACATAGCATTAAGCTCAATGCATTTCCTCTCAGCTGAGCCTTTTTATTTAATTGAGCTTCATTTTACATCTCTTACCTGCATATATCTCGTTATTTAATGGCTCTCAGGAATACTTGATTCTGATTGGTCAGTCATGGCATCCTCTGGTCAAAGGTCACATATTTTTGTATAAGGAGGCTAAACTGTATATTTGACACTGTTCCCGTCATCCAGTTTCCTACTAGTTTCATGTCTCATATACTGCACTCAGCAGTTTCATTTTTTAAGTGATAAAATAGCTCAAATCAATATTTAATGTCGATTCACTTATTTGCCAAGTACATTGCGTTTTATATTTAGTCATTTAGCAGACGCTTTTATCCAAAGCGACTTACAAATGAGGAAAATGGAAGCAATCAAAATCAACAAAAGAGCAATGATATGCAAGTGCTATGACAAGTCTCAGTTAGCCTAAATAGAATAGAGAGTGCTAGAGTTAGAGGGTCAAATAAAGGAAAGGACATGATGTGTGGCCAAGTATGGTGACCCATACTTGGAATTTGTGCTCTGCATTTCACCCATCCAAGTGCACACACACAGCAGTGAGAAGTGAGCAAACACACACACACACACACACTGTGAACACATGCCCAGGGAGCAGTTGGGGGTTCAGTGCCTTGCTCAAGGGTCTCACCTCAGTTGTTGTGGTATTGTGGGTGTGAGAGAGCACTGATCATTCACTCCCCCACCTACAATCCCTGCCGGCCCTGAGACTCGAACCTGTGACCTTTGGGTTACAAAGTCCGACTCTCTAACCAATAGGCCACGACTGCCCATATAGATGGAAGAGATGTGTTTTTAGCCAAATCTTGAAGATTACTAAGGACTCAGCTGCTCGGATTGAGTAGTCTTATAATAAGTGTAATAATGTAGAGCTATCGCAAAATTATTATCATTATCTCAAAATAAACACCTTCAGGATGATACAAGACCCCACCACTCTACACCAGGATGCTGATGGGGGTTCATTTTACTATACTGATCAGCTGACTGTACCTTATCCCTTCTTTTACTCCTGGCCAAACTTGGCTTGACATGTCATGTAAATCAAACCTGCTGCTGATGTCTTACTGAGCTGGCACCCATGTGTCAAAGGCTAAAAGGAGCACATTATCCAAGCTTTCCATCTGGTAAACAATTCATAACTGAGGTGTCAAAATAGTGAAATCTTCTAAGTGAAGACTATGACCGTTTAAACACTGTTTAAATAACTTGAGGAAAGCCTATTTTCTTTTCTAACGGCCATTCATTAAAAAGGTTTTACAGATAAATTAGCTAATACCACTTTTGATAAATGTATTTAAATGTGTACTCACGTGAAAGGAAGACTATAACAGCTATAACAGCTATAAAAGCTGTTTTATTTTATATGGAAATAAGAGCGCCCATTTTGAGATCTCGTGAGTCGTGACAGCTGAATAATACTGGCGTTATCTCTGTAAACAAAATAATCATGGTTAAATGCTAATAGAGCATTTCTACAATTCATTGTTTTTGTTCAGAACTGCAAACACACCACTAGGTGTCCCTATAAATCACAGACCGCCAAATCAGCCACATTTATATTTACAGATCAACGCTCTTTTTTAATCACACATACCTTTTCAAAATGTATTTTATTTATGGGTAAATAAAATACTGAGGTGTACCTTTTGAAAGGGTACTGCCTCAGAACAGCTTTTGTAAAAAAAATATTCTGAGAGTGTATTCTAAATAAAAACATTTAAAAAAAAAAGCATGACTGTGTGCTGGATATGGTAATAACTGAATAATGTGTAACAATAGCTTGAATGCAATGTAAGTTGCTTTGGATAAAAGGGTCTGCCAAATGCATAAATGTAAATGTAAATGTAATAATATCTGGCTCTCATGAAATGTTAATTGCTGTTTAATATTCTTCTCTCATCCCCAGATCTATTCATTGAGCGGTTCTGTATGACAGGAGGTAGCAGCCCCATTGGGTACCTGAAAGCATGGCATACAAACTTGTATTTGTCTGCTGATGCTGAAAAGGTTCAGGAAGCCCTCGCTGAAGGTTAGTACACAGTAAATATCTGATAACACATGCAACTGCCTAGTACTTCATCTTGTAGCACAATTACATTCATTAAATCAAAGGAATAATGTGACATTTTTTGTGCAACAAACAGTGCACAAAGTGCTAACAAGAGACCTTTGATGTTATGTTAATAAATACAATATTCATAGGAGTTTTTCCCAGCCAAATATAGTTGCGTAAAATGTTTTAATCAAATTGAATTCACAAATGGTGAGTAAAAGTTATAGTATATGATGCAGAATTGGTATAAGTACATGTCTCAATGACATACAAAGTATAGCAAAACCATATGAAGTGAACTTACCAAGAAACCAGTTTAAAAATCATGAACAGGTGTGCCTTACAGATATTAGACTTGTAATAGTGTTTGAAAGGTAACCTGTCAATAACTTTGAATGATGAAAAGTGCCAAATTACTTAGTGGTCATGGTGACTCCAAAGGAATTGCTCTTGCAGTTTGCCATTTAAAATGTTTTTGCCATTAAATGAACCCTTGAGCACACGAGCATCATATTAATTATTGCAGAAATAATTGTGTATATAAAATAAGCTAAATAAAACTAACTGAAGTGGGGAACGCATTGAACTCCAGATCGACTTAACAATCCAATGACCTATTTGTTTTACTGAGGCTTAATGGGTCCTAATGTCTTTAAAGGACACCCTTTAAATGTCATTCATCACACTGCTTTTTCCTTTAGGCTGGTGAGCTTTATCTTTGTCTTTGTGTTTTCTTACAGGGATTGCAGCAGCCACCATGTTTATGCCAGAAAAACAAATCGAGGTGTCTGAGACCCAGCTGAGAGTGGCATTTGATGGCGACGCTGTTCTTTTCTCTGATGAGTCTGAGCGTATTTTTAAAGCCCATGGCCTGGACAAGTTCTTCGAGCATGAGAGGGAAAATGAAAACAGATTGTTAGATCATGTAAGCATTGTTATTGTTACCCATGTGAACTGTTTATATTTTAAATATGATACAGAGAAAATGCAAAATGCATGTTTAAAGGAACGGTTATCTCAAAAATGAAAATTTGCTTAAAATGTACTTACCCTCAGGCCATCCAAGATGGAGATGAGTTTGTTTCTTCTTTCTTTTTCACTGGAGAATATGTTATATATAGAGGGCTCATATTTTAGCCAGAAGCAATGGTTTAAAGTTAAAAACGTCTTAATGATTAATTTGTTTATTACAAACATGGATCTTTTTACTTCACAAGACATTAACCGATGGACTGGAGTTGTGTGGATTAGTTGTGGATTATTGTGATGTTTTTATCAGCTTTTTGGACTCTCATTCTGACGGCACCCATTCACTGCAGAGGATCCACTAGTGAGCAAGTGATGCAATGCTGAATTTCTCCAGATCATTTCTGATTAAGAAATTCACATTTTCAGCAAATGTTCATTTTTTGGTGAACCATTCCTTTATTCCAATTATAATTTTTGCATTTGGTGCCACTAGTGGAATAAAAAAACTACACACTTCATCTTTGAATTAGCAGATATAATATGTAATGTTTTATAGACGGTTTCAACGGCAACAACATAAACAAACGTTACTGCGCATGCGTGCTTTTGTGGCCCTAACTTAACTTCCGGTAGACTTCCAAATAGAATCAATGACAACAGCTAAGTAGTCCCTTTAGAGAAGATTATTTTTTGATAACAAGCAAAATATGTTTGCTGCGTAAATCAGATGGATTTACTGAAAATCCAAATTCATTCTCTGCCAGCAGGAGGTGCTTTAAAGCGGTAGAAACAGAGGTTTCCCCAGTAAAGGCTGTACACAAATCAGCACTGAGCTCACAAACGCTGCTTTATCAGGCATATAACATGCAAGATGAAATGAAAATGACATCGAAAATTTTCTAAAGATAGTCTTCCTTCAGAAATACAGCGATATAAAAACACCCGTGCCTCGTTTTGATTTTTAAACG